TTACTACCAGGTCCTTTTGTTTGAAGAAATCTGCTCAGGGTTTTGTGTGACTGTGTTGCAGCAAGGATCTCTTTTGTCTTACCTGTTGGACTGAGACAATGGGAAAGAGAGTCACTTTAAATATTTCTGGTTGGTGATCTTTATTGACTGCATTTGCTTTGTGTTCCTGTCTGCAAGCTTTGGCATTTCATATCTTTCCACTGATGATGTTTTGTTAGCATAATCATCTTATACAGGCCAGTCTTTATTGACTAGTTCTCAGTTGTTAAAAACCCTTTTAGCTCACCTATCTTTATGTTACTATTTGTAATCAACTCTATTGTAGGCTGACTTACACCATAAAATTAGAGGAGCATTAGGGAATTTAGAAACCCTGAATTCTCACCCCTTACTCATTCCAACCTTTCTGCTTGACATGTGGGTAGATAATTCATATTCCAAGACTTGACATAGAGGATTGTACCCTGCAGCGGACAGTGAAAGAGGTGTAGAGTATGCTAACAGATTCTGCAGAGAAATAGGGATACTAAAAAGATCAAAAGCAGAACTGAGGGAGAGAAAGTAAGTTGTGGGATCGATTCTGCCCTCAGAACTCTTCCGGCAATGCTTCTTGTCCTGACAAGTTCACAGCTTTCTCTGTTGGGGAGCACTTTTTAATAACTGGGCATGGCTTGATATACCTGCTTTAATTACTCTCCTGGAAATAATGTCTTATTTTAAAGCCTTGGGATACCTTTGATAGCCTATATTTAGGACTATCTCTGAAATAATTAGGCAGGAAAGAAGTCATAAGCTAGATAATAGAAACTTTGCAAATAATAATGAAGTAAGTAAAAGCAACTTAGAGCAAGAGTGAGATCCTCCTGCCTGCTTTCTAAGAAACAGCAAGAGGAATATCTCTGGTAGCTGATTTAGACCCAGAGCAGCAAGCAGACCAGACAGAGGTGAGGTGGCAGGGTCAGAGAGGAAGTAATTGAAAATCTTTGCTGTTTCCAACATTTCTTTTTTAATTCATTCATTCATTCACTCATTCATTTTTTTATATACTTTACATCCTAGTTGTAGCCCCCTCCCCCCTTCCCTTCCAGTCCAGTCCCCTTGCTCTCCCCTTCCCCTTCCTATTCCTCAGAAAGTTATGAGGGTGGATATTCAGACCTGGGGAGAGCAGGGGCAAGAGGACAGAAGGCCTGTAGAGAAAAGAGAAACTGAGGATGGGGGCATTTCCGTGACAAGCTGGAGATGTAAGTCAGGGTAGGCTCCTGGGAGGATATGAGGGGGATCCTGGCAGAGATTCCTAGTAGCTGAGGCCGTAGAGACTGAAGATGAAGAGGACATCCTCTAACTAGACTAGTCTAGTAAAGGGAGGGGAACACCAACCCACCCACAAAAACTTCGACCCTTTGCTCTGCCTACAAGATGTACAGGGATAAAGATAGAGCAGATAGATCAGAAATTGAGGGAATGCCCAACCAATGCTTGGCCCAACCAAAGATCCAGCCCATGGGAGAGTGCCAACCCCTCACACTATGAACAATACGCTGCTAAGCTTGCAGACAGGAGCCTGTCAGAATTGTCCTCTGAGAGACTCTACCGAGCAGCACCACTAAACAAATGCTGAGACTCACAGCCAAACATTGGGTGATGAGTAGGGAGCCCTGTGGAAAAGTGGGAGGAAAGAAAAAAGTACCTGGAGGTGACAGGGGCTCCACAAGAAGATCAATAGAGCCAATTAACCAGGGCCCAGAGGGGCTTGTTGAGAATGGAGCATCAACCAAGGACCATGCATGGTGTGGACCTAGGCCCCCTACAAAGAGGTAGTGGATGGGCAGCGTAGGCTTCATGTCTTCATAGGAGAAGAGGACATGTTCAGTTCTGATGGACCGATTTTATTTTTTAATATTAAAAAAATTCATATTTATTTACTTTACATCCCAAGGGTGTCCCCTCCTCGAAGTCCTCCACTCCCCACTTCCCCTCTCTTTCCTCCCAGAAAAGGGGAACCTCCACCTCTCTCCATATTAACCTTCCTCAGCACATCAAGTCACATCAGGACTGAGCATACCTCATATCCTGAGGCCAGGCAAGGTAGTCCTTCCAGGGAGAAGTAATCCAAAAGCAGGCATAGAGTCCATGTTAGAAACAGCCCCACCTCTACTCTCCAGGTGACCCACATGAAGACTAAGCCGCCAGTCAGCCACATATGTTCAGGGGGCCTAGGTCCAGACCATACATGCTCCTTAGTTTATGTCTCAGTCTCTGTAAATTCCCATATGTCTGGGTTAGTTGTCTCTGTTGGTCTTCTTGTGGGGTCCCTGTCCCCTCCAGTTTCTTCCATCTTTCCCCCAAACACTTCCACAGGATCCCCAGAATTCCATCCCATGTTTGGCTGCAAGTCCCAGCATCTGTCTAAATTAGCTGCTGCCTGGAGCCTCCCAGATGACAGTCAAGTTAGGCTCATGCCTGCAAGCATAGCAGAGTATCATTATTAGTGCCAGGGGCTGGCTCTCTACTGTGGGGTAGGTCTCAGGTTGGGCTTATTATTGGTTGGACGTTCCCTCAATCTTTGTTCCTTCTTTATCCCTGCACTTCTTGTAGGTAGGGTAATTTTTTGATCACAGGTTTTGTAGGTGGATTGTTCCCCTCCTTCCACTAGTCCTGCCTGGCTAGGAGGTGGTCACTTCAGTCTTCACGCCCCCTGCTGTCAGGAGTAAATTAAGGAACATTCATCATGGGAACAGCCAACAGAGGGCTCTCCAAGGAACTTGAATGCTCTTAAATATTCATGTGGCATATTTGAGTATTTAGTTTTTTACCTCATCAAACTTTTTGAAAAGGAAAAACAAAACAAGTCAAGTGAAATGTTGCAAAAGGCTAAAGCTTCAATGTGTATCACTAATTGAATTTTATGAAGAACAAGGTAGTTCAGCAAAAGGTCAGTAGGCGGCAAATGTCTACAGCCCACAGATTCTATATCCCACACCTGGTTCTAGACAGTACTGAGGTTCCTGGATGACACTGGCATTTCACTTAGTCTCTCTGTGTCAGTGCCCTTGATATTAGATGTAGATGCTAATGCTGGCCCACAAGACTTCTGCAAGGACCAGTCATGCTAAGCTGTTAAAGTGTGCCTGGCACATATCTCAGTTCATGCAACCAGATCTTGTTACAGCCATTATTATCCTTTTCAGATCCTGGAGTTAAACTGGCAGAGGACGAGCTATAGGGCAAGCAAACCAGCTCTCTCACAGGAGGCACTGGGATCAAACCTCTTTTCAGGGACCACATTCTGATGTTTTGAAAAATACTTTTGAGCTATGGAGTCTTCATCAGCTTATGGTATATCTTCTGAACTTCACAGTTGGGTCTGATTAAGGTCATCCACTTAGATGTTCACTTTCCAAGAACGTCTGAGAAGTCTCTTTCTTTACTGCTTAATGAGCCTTACTTATCTAGAATGAGAAATGTGTTAGCACCTGCAGAGTTGGGGTGATACAAATGCCTCCCAGTTGACTAAACACATAGGTTATTCACAAACATCTCTTAATGAACTCGGTGCCAGATGTCAAGTTGGGGAGCACAGTTGTTAATAACATAGGGGAGCTTGTGGCCCATTCTCTAGAGGAAGCCATGGCCCAGTGAGCTTGTAGGAGGAAGTTTTGTTTAATTTTGTGTGATGGAGCTGAGTCTGGACAATATATGCTTGTGCCACTATTTTTTTCAGAGTTATTTATTTATTTTTATTGTGTGTGTATGGATGTTTTACCTGAAAGTATGTCCATGTACCACATGCATGCAGTACCTGCGGATGTCAGAAGAGGGCATCAGATAGATCCTCTGGAACTGGAATTACAGATAGTTGTGAACTGCTATATGGGTACTGGGAACCCAACCTGTGTCCTTTACAAGAGCCACATGGGCTATTGACTGTTGAGACATCTCTTCAGCCCCTAGTATCCCAGATTTGACAATTTCCTAGTGAAGGCTTAATAAAGTGTTTTTGTGTTGATTTGTTTTACTGACGTTTTGGAAACTTGTATTGTTTAAAACCATTTGTAGATTATGCGAGGTAGTATTAATTTTGAGCTTTATTCCACAGTGATCTTTCCCACCTGATTTTACTTACCTCTTTCTTGAACACTTTCTCTCCAGGCAACTTTCTTACAAAGTAGCCTGAGAGTTCTTAGTGTCTCCTGCAACATCATGGGATGTTTCTTTAAAAGATGGCTTTACTTATATAAAATATATTCTCATCTATTTTTACAGGATTAAATTTGCCTTTATTGATGATCAGTTGATTTAAACAGGCCTTTCTTGTGTATCTCAGGCAGGTCATGAATTTATGATTCCCCTGACTCAGCCTCCTCAGTCCTGGGATTACAGGCATGCTATGGCCATGCTGGTGCTGCCTCTTCCTCCTGCTCTTCTTCTTTTTCATTGTTGTTGTCATCATCGTTGCTCTCTTCCTGCTCCACCCCCCTCCCCCAGTCCAGGTTTCTCTTGTAGTCCTGGCTGTCCTGGAACTAACTGTAGATCAGGTTGGCCTCACACAGAGATGCACCTGCATCTGCCTCCTGAGTGCTGGGATTAAGGGCAACTGCTCAGCTACCACCATGCTACTAAAGGCAAACCAGCGTCAAGCTTTGAGATGCATGATGCTGTGGAAAGTCTCCAGGATGGACACCTTTTGGTACCTTTCCTTGTGTGGACCCTTTTCATCATTTAGAATTTGACCGACTTGCATTAACTGATAGGCTATGTGGAAGTAGTTTAGTGTGGATTCAATGACTAAACACTTGTCACATCTGTGTTCTCCAGCTTCCTCCAGCTGGTTTATTTACTGTCAGACATACTGGACTGGTTTCAAGGGAAAATTTACTGCCTTGCTGCATAGACTATGTGAAGAGACTCAGACCATGTAGAAAGTGATCAAATCTCAGTTGTCCATGTGACTCCAGTCTTAGTTGCCATCTGATTTCAAATTACATAAGCTAGGTTAAGATACCAGCAAAAGGACAACCCCACTCAGCCCAGCTCCCCACAGAAAAGTAAGACAATCAAATAACCTTGGTTTCAGCCCCTCAGTTTTAAGGCATAGACTTACATCATACATGACAAACCTATTAACCGCAAGACTCCAGGTGACATCCTTTCTGTGTACCACAGTATGTTACTTCCCTCAGAGTAGTTCATATGCAAACATGAGTGATTTTGATGAAAAACAAACAAACAAACAAACAAACAAACAAACAAGGTAGTCAGTGCTCTCACCCCCCGGGTAGTGTTCAGTGTTTTTATTCTCTGTCGTAAAACTCATCATAAGATGGGATCCTCTCTGTCTTGGTCCTCACCAGTGCTTGTGGTCTCCTTTCCTCTTCCTCAAGATTGTCTGAGTCAGAGCTGGAGCTGCCCCAGAAAAGCTGCCCCCAGGTTTCTTGTTCACGGAGCCATGTCTCCACCTTGCCAATTTTCTGGACACCATAGTCATTCTCTGTGTGGTATTCCAAGAATTCTTCATCCTGTGGACTTCCTGCAAAAGAGCAAAAATCTTTTTTAATTTTTCCTTGAGAATGATTATTGAAAATGCTTTTATTATCATAGAATAACTTACTTTGGGTTAATACTGGAAGAAAAATTAAATATTAGCCTTTTCTGTAAACTGTAAAACTGTTGTTTGCCATAAGAAATTAAAATCTTCTTGTCTCCCCCTATCTGGTAAAACCTTTATGCAAATGTTTTAATCACCCTACCCCTAACCTGGTAAAATTGTTGTTTATACAAAAGTCCTGCTATGTTCTTGGACTTAAGTGACTTAAGTGTCCATCCTTTGCCACTTCTCTTCATTTCTTTTCTACAATTCTTTCAAAACTAGCCAGTTTCAAAAGATTGTAGGTTGGACTCCAGCCAATGCAGAAAAGACAAAGTCACTATCTGTGTTAGAAAAAACTATGAGCACTGCCTGTCCCCATGTGCCTGCTAGCTAGTTTGGATTCTGGCATACCTTTTTGCAATAAGAATTGCCTTGCTACTTTTGCTTTGTTCTAGTTTTTCTTTGTGCAACGTTGAGCTTATTCATTGTTTTAAACAAGAACAACACACAGAGACTGTTAGTCCTGTAAGTATTAATTTTTAGCTGCTATTTAAAATTTCTTTAATTAACTGAAAGTAACAAGACTAGTGAAACAAACCTAGATCTCCAACTCATCCACACTATTTTTTGCCACAATATTGCTTTCAGCTGAACCATCTAAAAATTAGGGCACAGGATGTAGCTCAGTTGGTAGAGTGCATTATTAGCATGCATGATACAGACTGAACCACCAAAAAAAATGGGGTAATGGCAAATGCCTGTATTAAGAACTCAGGAGGCAGAGGCAGGAGGCCCCGGTGTTCAGGGTCCTCCACTGATGCACACTAAGTTAAAGATCAGGCTAAGATACATGAGATCTGTCTCAAACAAAACAAACAAATAAAACCAAAAAAACAAAAACACATTTTTATACTTTGGTCATTAGGAGAACAAATAATTGAATGAGCCAGTGAGTAATCAGACTGGGTAGGTAGAAAGGAAGAGGAGAAAGCAAGTTGGAGGACCAGTATCCATCTCTACCTGCTTCCTGGCTGCAGATGCACTGTGGCCAGCCTCTCATTCCTGCTGTCATGTCTTCCCTGATGTAATGGACTACATCCCAGAACTGTGAACCAAAGCTTCTACAGAGTTCTTGTCAGCAATTTTGTCATAGCAACCATAAAAATAAGTAATAGATTTCTCTTTCTGGAAACTTCAGCAGCAGGTGAAGTTGCCTGTAGACATCTCCTTCCACAAGAGCCTAATTAATTCTTGTCCCATTTTAATGAGAACAGTTAGAATTTTTACCTCATGCTAGCAAGTTACATTTTCTAGATACATTTTGTTAGGCGTATTAGCATACACACCCTGTCATCACAAAGAAAAACAATCCCATAGACTTTAAGAACTGATTGTACTCTCTGAGAGCAAGTCCATCTGAGGTCAGCTGATCTCCAGAATCCCTTGGAGAACTATCTGGAGATGCTTATTCAGGATGAGGATGGGAGCTGGGAAAGTCCCCACTCCCCAGGGGATTCTGCTGCTGACCCAGTCTCCATATGTTGAGACAGCTGTCCCCCCCCCTGCATCTCCAGCAGCGGGCTCCAGCTGGGGTTCCTTTTCCTGTTCCCACCCACCAAGGTCCTTGATAGGGGCATATGAAGGCCAGCATCTGTGCACTCTTCAGCTTTCGTCTAGAACTCGAGAGTGCAGCCTTCTCTTCAAAGATGGGTAAGGGCTCATGGCTTAGGCCTGCATACTTTCCAAGGCTGTCCTAGACAAAGCTGTGAATTCTCAACATCCGACGGAGGTTGTGGTAGCAGGCAGGTCATGCAGGTCATGAAGATGTGACCTTGAATTCTGGCTGTGTTATATTATGGGTAAATGTCGACTCTCACCTTCTAGTTGTGTAAGAATTAAAGGAGAGAATGTGTGTCAAGAACAGATCACAGTACCAGCTGCTTGGTCTGTTTTGGAGATGGGGTCTCAATGTGGAGTCCAGGCTGGAACCCAAAACTCACTATGCAGTTCAAGTAATTCATGGTGATCAAGACCTGGAATTACAGGTTTAGCTGAGAGAGAGAGAGAGAGAGAGAGAGAGAGAGAGAGAGAGAGAGAAAGAGAATCAACAGACTGCAGCTGGAACAGAGTGAAGCCTCTTTAAGAAACCTCAGAGAAGCAATGAAAAGCCCTTGTCTGCAGTCCTTTCTTGGTCCCTTCAAGCGTGACACATTTTCCAAGGCCCTTGCTGATGTAAGTATATTTGACTTGTTCTCAGGAGATGATTTGGAGTGCTTAACTTTGGCTGAGGCCTTTTCTCTTAGTTGTTTTGTCAATATTTTTTTCAGTTATGAAAGTTGTTTATTTGACAACAGAGCGTATCTTTGTCTGAGACTGAGGCATAGGTGGATGCCCCAACCTGATTTTCAATTATTCTGCTGTCATTCTGTGTCCAGTGGGAACGTGGGCCTTGTCAGGTACTGTCCTGGGAAACACCTCTTCCCCATCCCCTCACATCTCCCCTCCATTCATCTCCCCCCCCCACACACACAACCCTGGCTGAAGGAGATGCAATCAGAAGATAGATAGTGGCCAGATCCTGGAAGGTTGAAGGTCCCCCATTAAAGAGTTTCTCCTCAGGTTCATAGAAATCTGACTGTGTTTTTAAAAATTCATTTTTATTTATAAGCATGTGTTTATATGCCTGTATGGCATGTGTGTGCAGGTTCTGGAGGGGTCTGGAAGAGGGTATCAGATTCCCCAGAGCTGGAGTTACTGGCAGTTTTGAGCCACCCTACCTGTGGGCTGGGAACCAAACTTGGGTCCTTTGGAAGAATGGCAAGTGCTCTGGGCCCCTGAGCCAGCTTTCCAGTCCTGGTGACTGCTTTCTAAGCCTTTCTAAGCAGGGAAGTGATACGGTCAGATTTGCAAATAGATCCATATTTATCACCCTGCACAAAAGTCAAGTCCAAGCAGATCAAAGACCTCAACATAAAATCAGATACACTAAATCTAATACAAGAGAAAGTGGGGAATAGCCTTGAATGCATAGGTACAGGAGACAACTTCCAGAACAGAATGCCAATAGCTTAGGCACAAAGACCAACAGTATGTGGGACCTCATGAAAACGGAAAAGCTTCTTTTAGTAAAAGGACACTGTCAATAGGACAAAACAGCAATTTACAGATTGGGAAAAGATCTTCACAAATCCTCCATCCAACAGAGGGCTAACATTCAAATATATAAAGAACTGAAGAAATTAGACAGCAACAAACCAAATAACCCAATTTAAAAAAAATGGGGTACAGAGCTAAACAGAATTCTTAACAGAGAAATCTCTAATGGCAGAGAAATACTTAAACGTTCAACATCCTTAGTCATCAGGGAAATGAAAATCAAAATGACTCAGAATTCATCTTACACCCATCAGGATGGCTAAGATTAAAAAAAAAAATCAAGTGACAACACATGCTGGAGAGGATGTGGAGAAAGGGGAACCCTCCTCCATTGTCAGTGGACGGCAAACTTGTACAACCACTTTGGAAATCAATTTGGTGGTTTCTCAGAAAATTGGGAATAATTCTGCCTCAAGACCTAGCTATACCACTCCTGAAGATGCTCTACCATACCACAAAGACACTTGGTGAACTGTTTACAGAGCAGCTTTATTTGTAATAACCAGAATCTGAAAACAACATAGATGTTCCTTAACCAAAGAATGGATAAAGAAAATGTGGTACATTAAAACAATGAAACACTACTCAGCTATTAAAAACAAAGAAATTATGTAATTTTCAGGAAAATGGATGGAACTAGAAAAGATCATCCTCAATAAGGTAACCCAAACCCAAAGAGACACGCATGGAATATACTCACTTATAAATGTATAAGTATTAGCAATAGAGTACAGGATAGCCATCCTACAATCGACAGACTCAAAGAAGCTAAGCAACAAGGAGGGCCCAAGAGACGATGGTTGAATATCACTCAGAAGGGGAAATAAAATAAACATCAGAAGTAGATGGAGAGAGAACTGGGTAAGGGGGGGAGAGTGGAACAGGGAGAGCAGAAATCATATGGTGGGAGAGAGGGACGGGGGAGGACTAGGAGAGAGAACAAATATTGCAGAGTAGGGAATTTCTAGGATGGGAGAGGCTCCCTGGGGTCTATGGGGATGACCCTAGCTGAGACTCCTAGCTGCAGGGGATGTGAAGCCTTCAGTGGCCACCTCCTGTAGCCAGGCAGGATATTCAGTGGAGGAATAAGGACACAGTACCTCCCACCTAAAACTTTTCCTGCCTACAAGATGTGCACGGACAAAGATGGAGCAAAGATTGAGGGAATGGCCAACCAAAGCCTGGCTCTACTTGAGATCTGTTCCAGGGAAGAGAACCAACCCCTCTCTGACACTATTAATGTTGTTCTGCTATGCTTTTATATGAAGCCTAGTATAACTCCTCTAAGAAACTTCACCCAGCAGCTGATGGAAACAGATGCAGATACCCACAGCCAAACACTAGGCAGAGCTCAGGGAGTCCTGTGGAAGACTAGGGAGAACGATTGAGGTAGCTGGAAGGGTAGCTTGTCTTCATGTGGATTCCTCTAAAACTGGAGCAGGGGTCCTCTCTGAGTCTCATGTCTGCCTTTGGATCCCGTTCTCCTAACTGGGTCACCTTGTCTAGCCTCAGTGGAAAGGATGTGCCTAGTCCTGCAGTGGCTTAATGTGCCAAGTTGAATACCATGGGGGACCTCCCTCTTCTCTGAGGAGAAGGAGAGAGGAGGGTGAAGGGGAAGGGAGAGATGTGTGAGGTGGGGCTGAGATGAGAGAAGGGGGCCGCAATCAGGATGTGAAGTGAACAAATAAATGAACAAAACAAGTAAAAATATGCTTGCATCTCAGTCTCAGAAAACGGAGGCAAGGATTCTTGAGTTCAAATTTGATTTTGTCTTAGAACAATGATGGAGGAGTTGGGTAGAGTCTTTGTCTGCCTTGTACCCTGGCATGTACAAAGCCCAGTATGGCATATACAAACCAGGGATAGAGGTATCATACAGTGCTTGGGAGGTAGAGGCAGGAGGGTCAGAAGTTAAAGGTCAACTTTGTCTTCTTAGTGAGTCCGAGGCTAGCCGGAGCTATATGAAAGCCTGTTTTAGAACAACTAAACTCCCAAACCAAACCAAAACAACACATGAATATTTTACTAAAGAAATGACTCACCTGGGTCTCTGTTTATGGTTTCATCAGGGATTATGGTAAGCACGTCACAGCCATCGCTTCTCGGTATGTTTTGGGTGATTTTGTTGCCGTTATGGTCCTTCAGCTTTTGCATATCAAGTATGGATTTACTATTAAGACTCATCCTCAACTCCATCTGGGCCTGAAAATGATCAGTTTGAAGTGGTTACTGTTCTTCCAATCTGTCTTCCCCAAAACAGATTAGCATCAAAAGTGGACAGTTCACAGCCCCAGGCACCCTTGAGCATACTGGAGTGGTTTTCTTCCAGTCACATGGTGTGGGAACTTGAATCTCAGGTTTGTTAGGGGAAATAGGAGCATGCTCACTGTCTCACAGAGGTGTGGCCAATAAAATGAGGATGCCTGTTGCCCTCTGTAGGTGAGGTGTTTCGAATTGCAGATGACAGATTCTCAAGATGCTTCCTTGGGGTGGGGATGGGAGGTGTGAAGGGTGTGCATCTAGGGTAGGACAGTTGCAGAACTCCACTAGAGAAAGTGTTCCAGTGTTTCCTCCCAAACTCATAGGTTGGAAACAACCTCCCACCCCCACCCCAGTCCCTATGCTAATTTGTAGGTGGGCCTTTAAGAGATGGTTCACCCTCAGGACTGAGTAAACTATTGTCACAGGAGGAGGCTAGTTCTCCCTGGAAAGAGCTATAAAGGCAGGCTTGTCTGTCTTGAGTTGCTCTTGCTTCTGACCCCTCAATCTCATGAGCATTGTCACCTGCCATGTTCTCTGCTCATATTGTGTTGTGCCACCTCCTATCAACTGCCAGTATCTCAGTCTTAGACTTCCCAGCCTCCAGAACAACGAGCAATATATTCATTGTCTCTATTAATTACTGCATCTCTGATATTCTCTCATGGCAGCAGAAAAGGACCAAGACAAAAGCCTTGCTTATTTTTTTCTTCTGGGAACAGGACGTCACTCCATAGCTCGGGCTGTCCTGAAAGTTTCTATGTAACCCAGGCTGGCCCAGACCTTGTAGCAGTCCTCCTCTACAGCCTCCCAAGCGTGGGGGCACAACCATGCCCAGCAAAAGGTGTTTCTCGATAGGAACTTCTGTGGCACAGGTTTTCGGAAGAGGCCTGTGTATCAGAATAAAGACTGACGTCAGTTCTCTCTGTTACTAAACCAAGAAATGAATATTATCGGCCCCATTTTCTGGCTGCAGCCAGAAGGTCAGAGGGTAGCTTGGGCTTTGTGGTGCACACCTTTGATCCTAACAGTCAGGAGGCAGGAGGCCATCTTGGCTTACAGAGTGAGTTCCAGGCCAGCCAGGGATATATAATGAGATGCCCATCTAAAAAACAAAACTAAAAGACAAAGAAAAAGGGACACTGGACGGATTAGTGAGATGGCTCAGTGGCTAAGGGAGCTTGCTGCCGGGTCTGACAATCTTGAGTTTGATACCCAGAACCCATATGATGGAAGGAAAAAAAAAAAAAAAAACCCCTATTATCAAAATTTGGCCTCAGACCTCCAGACACATACTACAGCACATGTTGTGTGCCCTATGCCCCCACAAAATAAAGAAATAAATGCATACATTAAAAGGGGTGTTTGAAGCACAGGTCTAATCTTGAAGAGAAGTTAAATTAAAAAAGGCTGGAGCAAAGGCCATCTTCCTGTTTTTGCCAGCCTGTGCCACAGCAGCTTCAGCTCTGGTGCTGAGTCTAGGCTGTACTCGGTGTGACACAGATGACGCCCTCCAAAGTTGGTAAATGTGACCCTCTTCTCTTTACCTGTTGTCTTTTATGGTTCATCTCCAGCATCTGCATCTTATGTAAATACTGTCTTTTCTGAGGAGTGTGCCTGGGAAGCTGAATCTTCTTCTCAAGTTCCTGCTGTGAACGATGACATGTTAATGTGGGGTAATTGTTACTGACCTCTGCAGTCCACATCCTTCAACCCTTCCTGGAGCAGAGAATCGTAATCCATCATACTCCGCAGCGATCTTCTGTCAGGATAAAGGTACGCTAGTGTTTGTCCCTGAAAAGTTCTTTGTGTCGCTGTCAGTGAATGAAGTGGCAATCTGCTGTGTCTCTAATAGTGTTTTAAAGGTTCTTGCAGAGTTTTGCAACCCTGGAATGCAAGGGTTTTGACAATTTCACTTTGATAATCTCACTTGTACACTGTACCATTTCCCCTGCCAACGGATGCTTTCAGTGTATGTCTAGAAAAGTCTCCCAGTTTAGAACGGGGCCTCCCTTTCTCCTCTTGTGTCCTCTGCCACTGACTAGCTGGCTGTGAATTGAGGGAAGAACCCCCAAGTGGGTCAGTGGACCCTGTTTCTCTACTGTATATTTTCATAATCAAATATAAGCACAGAGGTGCGCAGCAGTTAAGAGAGGCTTTGAAACAACTACAGATAAGTCTGGTGGTCTTCCTTTAGTTTGCCGTGAAATTCAGTGACATAGTTAAGGTGAGTACTGAGGGCAAGCAGAGGTGACTGTATTTTCATTTGTCACCTGCTGTTGGCCAGGGTGAAGGAGAGAGATGGTGACAGCCCTTTGTGCTGCCATGTGGACAATGTGTCAAACAGTGCAGAAACTTAGGGGGAGGCTGCCCCACCCACTGTCAGCACCCTAAGCATGAGCTTGAGGACTTGCAGTACCCATGTGTTTCTTACTAGTCCATGCAGCTGCAGAGTGAGTCAGAACCTGGTTTGAAAATGACCCCCTACTAACAGCTTTCACTTTTAGTCAGCAGGACAAAGCTGACTGATCCTCCCTGGAGTCCCAGAATGGAAGGGTTTTTAAACCCTGGAGCGCTGGGGTAGAGCTGTTGCTGGCTTTCTCCCACCACAGATTTGAAAACTTCTAGAACCATCAGTTTCTATGTAAGATGCCCTTTTCATCTTCGTGTCTCCGTTTCCTCCACAAAGCAGACATGGCCTGGGCTCATCTGAGACTGAAGAGCACTTACCAGTTGGAGGCAGGCACGGGCAAGCACTGACGCTTCAAACATTCTACCTGCCAGGCACGAACAGTCTGCTTTGACTTTGAACTCTCATGTGAAGGGGAACCATGAAAAGAGTGACTCCCTCGGCTTCACCCACATCCCCCAGTCAGCAACTGCCACAGCTCACCTTTGCTTTGTGCCTTGTTCTGGCTTCTTGCTGGCTCAGAAGCCTCTCAGAGGTAATTACTTGTGGCAGGTCAATGGGTTCAAGCTTCTAGAAGTCCAATATTGAGAGAATTCAGCATCCCTCACGCCATCAGACGATGAAACACAAAAGCAGAGACATCAAACTCCCTGAGCCCTGTGTGAAAGCAGCACTTGCTCCTGGGCATGCGCAGGGAAGGTGATTCCCACAGTGCCACTGGTGTCATCTGTGAGAAAGGCTTTTTGACCTGTGGGGTTCTTTATTATTCTATCACATTGTTTCCAGGGAGCCAGTAAACCAAATCTTGGTCAGAGAGTTGAGTGCTTTTCCCTCTGTAGTGAGGGACCACGTTCAAAGTTACTAAACATCTGGGGTCTTAGACTGGTGAGGTGGAGGAGACACTGGAGACACACCTGAGCTTTCTTTAACCACACAGTGCTGTCCCAGTCCTTTCGAAGTGACCTCTTTTGAAGGTCTTTAGAGAGGGTCCCTCAGCAATCCTGGGTGACCAGACACACTTGAAAGGAAAGTGCAGCATGCTAACGCGTGGTAGGGTCATCTTTTTCTAGCAGCGGCTAGGCTTTATGAGAGGCGTTTTATTAGAGCTTAAAAAGGTTCACTAAAATGAAAAGGAGTATATCCATGGGTCTAACTGCCCCCCACCGTGTGTGTGTGTGTGTGTGTGTGTGTGTGTGTATGTGTGTATGTGTGTGTGTGTGTGTGTGTGTATGTGTGTATGTGTGTATGTGTGTGTGTTGTACATGTATGTAAGGTACATCCGTCCATGTAGGTCTATGTAGAAACCAAGGGTTGATGTCAGGTGTCTTTCTGTAGCTCTTAACCTTTTTATCCCAATGTCTTATCCCAGTCTGTGCTGGGTTTACAGATGTTTCCTGTCATAATCGAATGCTTCCAGATCTGGCTTTTTAGTTTTTGCTTGTTTGTTTGTTTGTTTGTTTGTTTTGTGGGTATTGGGTATCAAGGCACTATCCTTGACCAGCAAGCACTTTACCCATTGAGCCATTGCCCCAGCCCACTGCCCAGCCTTCCTTCACCTCAGGAGAATTTAGGCTCCACAAGGCTGAGCATAGGAGACAAAGCTGGTCTCGTGCTGACATGTAGAAGCATGTCTGCAGAGTTTTTTCGTGCAGGGATCCAGAGCTGTGTTCTTCACATCCAGGCAGTCTGTGTTTGAGGCAGGAACTGTCTGTCTGTCCTGGGCTCACCAGGGAAGCATTCCTAGACACCTCAGCAGTAATCACTGGTGACAACGAGACACAGTCCCAGTGAGGTCTGGCCCTGTAACTTAACCCAGCAAAGAAGCAACGAGAGGTGATGAAGCAAAACTTGTTTGTTTCTCTCACTCTCAGCTTTTCAGGGCATGAAGATGGTGGTTCAGGAGGTAACAGCTGATTGTGTCAGAATGCTGGAGGGAGAGACTGAGGGATAGTGAACCCTCTAGATACTCGTGGGAGGAAGAATCTATGACAGCTGGGGATAGGGGCTTGGGTAAAGGGAAAACAGAAAGGTTCATGTCTCCTCAGCATGGGTGAGTCTTCAGAATTTGTGTATTCATGAGGCTGTATCGCTGTGTAGCCATTATTCCATACTATGTCCATGAGGAAATGCACTATCACATGTCGTCCTCAAGTGAACCTTGTGTATAAATTATGAGGGTCTCTGTTCTATCTATCTATCTATCTATCTATCTATCTATCTATCTATCTATCTATCTATCTATCTGAGACAGGGTTTCTCTGTATAGCCCTGGCTGTCCTGGACTCACTTTGTAGACCAGGCTGGCTTTGAACACACAGAGATCCATCTGCTTCTGCCTCCCTGAGTGCTGGGATTATAGATGTGCACCACTGGGCCAGGCATGTCTCCATTTCAGAAAGGCTAATGATGTGTCCAAGTTTGCCCTCCTGGAAAGTGCCATCACTAGGATTCAAGCTCAGGTGTGTGCCCAGTCTAAAGCTATCTTCTTCACCTCATTGTTTGCCTCCCAATTGCATGATCCTTGGAATACCCTTGCACTGTGAAACAAAATCCCAAAGGTGCTCCACTGGGGCTGGAGATTCCCCAGGTTTGGGGTATGTATGTTTTGGGAGTAGATAATGTTTAGGAATCTCAGAGAGACACTGGGGATTTCTTTGAAGGATGGGGTCCGAAGTGATCCCACACTGCAGCAGATGAATAAAGGACCCACATCCAAGTGGACCATAGGAGATTTGCGTTTGTAGGATAAAGACTGAGTCTGAAGAACCCAACATATTTAAGTCATTTCAAAGGTAATCTTTGGACCAGCCTTGTGGTTTGATAGTATGAATGCCTGAGCCACAGATGGCTCACTTTCTTTGTTCTCAGCTTTCTAGTTAGGCTCACAATTCTCATCAAGGTTACTGTTTATGAATGCTCTAGGCAACTAGTTTCTGGAAAAAAAAAAAATTCAATGAACACTCATTCTCTTTACAAAGCCACTAGATGGCAGCAAGTGACACTGCAAACACTTCCACCTGCATAGAATTTGGACTGGGAAGCAGTACAGAAAAAAAATAGTTGGGAAAACTGGCTTTGTTTAAATGTGGCAGCCCAGTGATACTCCTTCAGGGCCCTGGGTTCACAAACACCTCCATTTCCACGGCCTCACTTCATCCTTTGCCCAGGAAACACACCGGAAGGACTTACTTAGAGAAATGGTACTTTTTCATTTTTTTAATATTAGAAAATATCTTACTTGTCTGAAGATTTCTTCACTTCATGATCAATATAATCAGTTAGAATATGCGCTCTGGGGCTTTGGGAATGGAGAATAAATCAACCAAACACCACACACCTCTGCACTTGGTGGTAATCACTGACCTAGGATTTTTTTTTTTTTTAAGATTTATTTATTATGCATACAATGTTCTGTCTGCAAGAGGGCACCAGATATCAGTATAGATGGTTGTGAGCCACTATGTGGTTGCTGGGAATTGAACTGAGGACCTCTGGAAGAGCAGTCACTGCTCTTAACCTCTGAGCCATCTCCCCAGCCCTGACCTAGGATTTTTATTAGTAGGAAAAGAAAGGTGGGACAAACAACCCAAAGCAAATGTATCATTTGTCTGGCGCTATGCCTGAAGAACATGTGTTTTCAGACTCTGGGAAGTACCCTATGACAGCTTTATGCAGATGATTATCAAGACAACTTAACCCCAGGGGGAATTTCTGATCAAGTCCTTGCAGTGCAGTTGCATTTCAATAACATTCTTTATTTCAAACAGATCTTCATGCAAGCCAACACAGCACCAAAATAAAACCAACTAACCAAACAAACAACAACAACAAAACAAGAACCCCCAAACACAACATGATTTGGCTTTAGTACAAGATAAATACTTCTCTAGATCAGAAGACAGAACAGCCCTTACATCTAAGGCTCGGAGAACATTGTGGAAGAGAGGGTAGAAAGATTGCAAGTCAGAGGACCAGGACTGTAATATTGTGTCTTCTATACATGACATGGAAGCTTCAGCAAGCTCAACAATATGGTTGCCTAAACAACATCTAGAAACACCAATGGACATGGCAGCATGGAATGGGGAAAACACACAAGGCCCCGCACCTAGATGAAAGCTACAGGCCATTAATGGCTTCTGAGGCCAGCCTAAACACATGTGAGCAACTTTAAATTAACACAGAAGTTATCTTTATAAACTTAGACATAGGTGTGTACATTTAACAGTAACAACTAAAAAGAAGAGGCCATGAGTTTGTGGTGAAGGGCCTTGAGAGAAGCTGGATGGAGGAGGAGAATGGAAAAACATAAATTCAGTACTCAAACATGAAATTCTCAAAAGTAAACAGTATTTAAAAACAAACAAAAAGAAAACAGAACAGAAATGAAAATATCCAATCCATATGACACTAAGGGTAGGTGCTGGCTGTGAGTAATTTATAGTCAACACGGCGTATTGGAAAACACTCCATAGAGGATCCAGGCTCACAATTTGAAATCAGGGCTGAGTTCTCCATCATGCTGCTTATTGTGCAAGAGCTGCAGGGCTGGACTGAGTAGCAAAGGATGTTGATTTAGCATGTAAGAGGCCATGGGTTCATTGCTCAGTACTGGAAAACTGAAACAATGTATCTGGGGCCGGGGAGGTAGCTCAGCAGATAAAATGCTCACCACAGAAGTGTGAGACCTAGCACTCAGGAGCTGGAAATGGGATTCCCAGCACAAACTGGCTAAATGCTGAACTGGCGAATTCCGGGTTCAGGGAGACTCTGTGCCAATAAATAAGGTGGAGGATGATTAGAGAAGACATCTGACATCAACCTCTAGCCAAGGCACACACACATACACACGCACCGTAAATACATACCTCAACCTGTATGCTGGATGATTCGAATCACAAGACTTAGCAAAAGGTTGAATATGAGGAAGAGAAGACTCCACAACAATAAATTCAAAAGCTTTGGTAAATGGATAATTTCCAAGAACCTATAAATTAAGCTAGTAGGGAAAATTATCACTTTCCTTAACAGTCCAAGAGTCTAAAACTGGTTTTGGAGACACATTTTACTGAATGTTAGGGGAATAGAGAAATCCTGTGTTATAATAAATGCTCTGGAAAAGAGGACGAGGAATCGTCTCATTTTACAAAACCAATTCAATCTTGGTGGTAAAGCTGGCATAAAACTATTGAAAAAGTGTAGACCCATTCCACTCATTAAAGCAGAAACACAAAGCCTTAGGAAATCCAGCTCAGCAATTATGTGTTTACTTATCTCATGACCAAGTCAGTTTTATACCAGAAATGCAAGCATGGATCGGCATTATAGATGTTACACTGTATCCACTGGAGAAAAGAAGACCCACAGAATCCTTTGTTTTTCTGTGAGTGGGCACATGTCTGTGTGTGGGTTTACATGATTGTTTTAATAGATGGGGACACATCCATAACTTTTAACACTCAGCGGTAAGAAAGTCCTAGCATACAAGCCTGAAGGAAATAACCTAGAATTGAATGCTATGGTGCCAGGTAGCTTCCATTGGTCTCTACAGCCCCAGTCACCCACTCGCCAGCTGGTCTCTGCCTGTATCCTTGCAGCAGCTTCTTTGCCGCTGGCTTCCCATTGGGTGTGGCCACTGAGGGATGACGATGAGGTTAGGTATTGGGCTTTTGGCCAGTCACAGTGTAGCATCGACCATGACCCTCAGTAGAAGGTCACCCTTATCCTCAGCCCAGCTTTCTCTGCCGGACTTTCTCCTTTTGGGCTCCAGAAAACTCTCCCCTCGCCTTGACCTAGAGCTGCTTACTCATCATCCCTTTCTAACGGTTACTGCAGTATCTTTGGCCATTTCTCTTAACCAGACTTCTATTCATTGATAGTCAAAAATAAAACTTCCCTGAGTTACTGTAATTTCAGTGTGCCACATGTTTCCCTTAGGGACTTTGGTGCCAGCATGAATTCAAATCCTACTCTATGTGTTATATATGCTGAGTACCTTTTACTTTAATTTCTTGGGACCAGTAGTATTTCAAATTTGGGATTTTATATTTGATTTTCAAATATTTGCACGTATATAATGAGATGTCGTGGTAATGGGACTCAAGTCTAAATAGAGTTTGTTCCATGTGTTTACTAGGCACCCTAGCTGAAGGTAATTTCACACAGCATTTTCAGTGTTTCTGCTTTTTTGGCTGCAAACTATCCCATGAGATCATGTGTGGCTTTTTTCCCCCTCCCGTGGCAATGTCAGTGCTTAGATAAAACTGGATTTTGAAGCACTTCAGAATTCACATATTTAAAATTAGGGATTTGCAAGTAAAATATCAGTATCTTCAATGGGAAGTAGTGTGCAGGGGAAAAGACAGGATAGAGAAGGTCTGAGGAAATCAACAACAGCTAATAGTTTGTTCAGGGTGAGCCTTATAGGGATACTGAAATTTGAACAGATATCTGGAAATCAAAGAATTATCCTGCTAGAGAACTAGGGTCTATACTCAGGGTTGGGGTGGTAAGGAAGGTAGCAGGAGAGCATTCCTGTTAGGCTGCATGGTTGGAGGAGAAGCTGGACAGGCCAGAATGGCACTGCTGATCAGTTCTACATGGGATTGGGGGGAGAGTAGGTAAGTGGAGATGCTGTCGATTTAAGCTCCCAGGCAGAGAGGCTTAGTTCTTACCTCCAGGAAGAGGTGCTCTTTAGTTCAGAAGTAGAGATGCTCAGGAAGTGGCAAGCGCCAAATACCTAACTCAAATTATTTAGGATGCAATTAGGTTTGGTTTAATAATTAAAAGTACTTTCAGAATTTTCTTTGGCAGAGATCAGGCTATTAATTAGCATGTCATGGGAACCCAGCATTTATTATTCTCTCAAAAACCCATTTGTGGTGAAAAATGTGCTGAGCCTCATTTGTGAAGATAATTATAGATGGTATCTTTGGGAGTGTCTTCCAAGTTCCTAGTGATTTCTCTTTTATCTGCGAGCTGACTCCAGAGCCTACAGGGTGCCTCCTCTGCCCACAATTCTGTAGCGCAAGCATGTCCTCTGCTCCCAGCTCATTGGATCAGAGCTAGAATCATTAGTAGAGCTGAGCCAATAACATCTTTCCTCCACAGGAATTTGCACGCCCAGCCATGGTCAGGCAACTCTGCCCATTTGATTGGATATATAAGATTCAAGTTTAAGGTGTCCCTGAGGAGTACAGAAAGGTGATCTTTGGGGGAAATGAAAGCAGATATACAGAGGAGAACTCAGGAGAGCTACATAGGATTTGGTCTTTCAGAGTCTCCTGGCTCTTGGGTTCAACAAAACACCCCTATATCCTTATAGTTAAGCACATTGATATCTTTGTACACTTGTGTTTTACTGCAGCCAAGGATGAACCCCCTTTCATTCGTTAACTCTTAGAATTTGTGTGGTACATGTTGTCTGTGGCTGAAGACACCACACTGTGTAAAACACAGTCTCTGCAGTCAGATAATGTGTCTTGAGTCTTTATTCTTAAGGTGGTCTGCTAGTTTGTGGGTTATAGTGTCAGACTCTGAAATATTCAAGTCCTCTTTTTGAATGTGGTGGAATCCAAACCTAACCTTAACATAGTTTGGATTGGTAATTATTAAAATTATTCTGTGATGTAGAGAGTATAACACAAATATATTTCTCTGTTTGTAGTGATTTTTTCTGCTAGCCAGTGTCAGGGATTCTCAGGGACATATATTAAATACTCCTTTAAAGGGATGCATTTCGTTTAAGAATAAAGCCAGCTTTAGGTTTCTCAGCTAAGCTAAAGATATGCTCACAACTGTAAATTAGACATTAATTTATTACATTTACCCTTAACTTTGTTCAGACTAAACAATACCTTTGCATTTTCTGAAATTTCTGGCAGAAATGCTCTTTTGGAACCAAAGGTAATACCCACTTAAAATAGTAATTTTGAGTGTCCAAAGAAGACAAGTAAATAAGACCTGAATAATACAGAAACAGTCCTCCACAAAGAGCTCCCTTAACCCCAGAACCAGTCTGGGCATCAGGATGAATTGTGGAACAGGCAGGGTTAGGCTGTTTCCTTTTCTCAGTTCATACATAGCCCCATGCTTTCTGTTACCTGACGTTCATTTCCAAGGACCCACTCTGATCTCTTTCCATTTTCAGGATGAGATGTCTTATTAGAATTTATGCCTCTCTAAAGGGAATTAATGACATCTGGCACCAGTGTCCCCAACTTTAACAACTGCATATAACATCGAGTATGAATAAAGGATTAAGAGGAGATAGAGGTCACTTATACTGATGGTTAGAAATACCAGAGGCCTGGCTAATGCCTCCTGTGTCTTTTGGTAAGTCACATCAGCCTCTGAGCTATATGCAGAAAACAAAGCTGGTATTTTCTTTCCCATATTCAGCTAAAGGACTACATGAATGACATAGATCAAGTTGCCTCTATGGTGTTTGACTTGAACAGTAGTAGTTGCCGTTTTACAATACTCAATCAACTAAGTGCTAGCTTCAGTTCCTTAAAATCTCTAGCCTATGTCCTTGTTAAGATACTTTTTTGTGTTATGAGCCTCAAAAGTGACATCACAGCTAAAGAAAATCCTAATACTATGGTCTTTGCAACTGTCAACATTTTTTGTAACCATATTTCATTAACAAGGTATTTAAGGTTCTTTTATGATTATAGATGAAAACAGATGTAAGCATTAAAGTGAAGACATTCATTAAGAAGACTTTTAAGTTCATCTTACTTGAATTCTTCGGGGTGGATGCCTTTTGATAATACTTGTTTCTTCATGCTTCAGTGGGATGTCAAGATACATGGCTCTGGATACTTGAAGGATTGGGGGGAGATAATAAGCCATTAAAATCAATTTATTGTCAGATTAGGCATCCAGGCTGAGCACTGTGTAGTAGCCATCTATATAATTTTGAATCTTTCGATTAGATGTGCCTGACTCACTGGTCATATGTAGAGATGAGACACACAGAGCAGGGCTCCTCCATGAATGCAAGTGATAACATTTTAGTCTGAGTTCTTTTTTTCCTTATCCTCCAAGGTTAATTTTTTAAAAAGGTTGAAACATTAACTATGTACTGACCACAAGTATTACTCAACACAGAGCTTAGCCTGGAAAATAGACTCTTACTGAAGAGCCTTATGACAGTCCCCTCTGTGCTGGAGGTCAAGGCCAGAGCCTCACATATACTCTGAGCTTTATCTCCAGCCCACTAGTTTAGTACTATGAGATCTCCCCCAAAATAAAGGGAAGAGGGAGAGTCCATTTGTGTTACTGATGCAGAGTGTGAACAAGAGAAAAGGTGACCCAGATGTATGGAATGTGTGCTAGCTGACACATGTAAACATGAATTTCTCATCCCTAGCTAGCACCTCCGTATTAATTATCGCTATGGTCACCAGAAAACGTTTGACCTGTCAGAAAGATCAACCAAGAACAACTTGGAACCATTCAGGCTCAGAGCGTCCCATCAGGGTTGGAAAAAGTCCCTTAGTTCTGTGATGCCCCCACAAAGAACACAGGGTTAGAGAAGGCTGATTCACCTACTCTCCCTCACGTACTAAATCCGTTCTGTTTGGGTTGGTATCAAAATTCACACTGGGAAGTTTACTCCTAAAGTGCTACTCTCCCAACACAAAGCCCGAGGCATTAGCTCTCCTGGAGACAATGACTCCCGCTTAGACTCCAGCTGGAGCGTGACTGCCGTCATTTATCGCGTCTGTGGCTTTGTAATTTTCATAGACTACCGGGGGTGGCATACACATTGAAATCACAACAGACTAAGCTGAGACCGGACAGTTTCCCCTTCTTATTTGGAAGGCGAAAAGTCCTTTATGAGGAATTGACACAAACATTCCAATTCGGCCAACAAATATTCAGTCCTCGCTGAAAAATATTCTTCATCTCAGTGGTCTAGACTTTCAGAGAACATGCAGACAGACAGACAGACAGGGAAATCTACCCACAGTACTCCCGGGCCCCAGGCACGCAAAGCTCACGTTTGGTTTCGGTGTACCTGCAGGGTGTCTTCTACAACGCGGTTCTCGAAGAGGCGGTAGCTGTCCTTCCAGAGTTCCATTTTGGTCCTGCAGTCTCATGAACGAATATGAGCTCTTGCCTTCCAGGTCGTGGTTCAATGCAAAGAACGCAGGGCCGGCTAAGGGAGTCTTTATTTCTTCGCTTTGGATAGGTGCGACACCAATTGCCTGAGGGTGAGCCTTGGAGAGACACAGACCCATTTCCCTTGAAGATATTTAGAAGAAAACCGTGATGGAAGGTTTGAGGGCCTTTATGGAGCTTGTTTAAGTATTTTGAGGCGATTGCCCCAGCTTACCAAAGCAGGTGTTTCCTTCATGACATGTTTCCAGTTCTGTCCACCGACACTAGACACTAACTTCTCCGGCCACTTCCTGGGAGGCTGGTTTCCATGGAGACTTCCCTTTAACTTCTACTTTGCCATTCCAGAACTAAAGAATGCGGTTAAACATTGACTTGGTTATTCTACTCTCTGAAAAACTCAGTGGCAGGGATAGAAACTTCTATTTATCATTAAACAAATATCCAACCCCAGGCCATTACCAGAGATGCTGCGCAGGGTTTTAGAGAAATCTTAGAACTGCCCTTTCATAGCAAACATTTTGGAAAGAACAAGCAGCCCAGACGAGCTAAGCCATTGGAAATGAGAGGGCAGATGCTACTGGCTCAGGGCTGTGTTAATCTAATTAGAAAATGTGTCTTTCAGTTAGGAAAAGAAGCAGGGGAGTGGATAATACTTCCTCTGATTGTTCTGCCAATGACTGGAGCTGCCTTTGAAGGATATGCACGTTGTAGGAGAATGAAAAGGAAATAGGGCTCCTTCCTTCCCCATCTCCGTGCCAGGAATAAAGGAGCAAATTTATTAAATAGTCATCCAAATAAAACTTGTTTTCAAATAGAGCCTATTATGTTTAAGTAGAAAATAAAATGGAGGGAAATGCACGAATGTGTTGAACAAGAGGATTGTGGCTAATTTTTATTTCAGTCATTTACTTGGAATGGGACTCACATTCAAGTTCAAATTTTATGGCCACAGATTGCAGGTGCTTTTGGCATAGCTCCATAAAGGAATTAAAAATGTTTCCCATGTTGTGAAATCCATTTGCTAAGGGGATGAACATGATGATTGGAAAGTCTTGCTAGTCAATAATAGCTATTTAGGTTTAATTTTTTTGCCTTATTAGTATGTAGTTTTGAGAGGTTTTATCGGTGGAGAATATGAGCTGTATTTGAGGAAGCTGGTCAGTTGTAGAAATGATGAAAGAGACAAAGCTGCTACTTCTAAACCCTGTGACTGTTACAGATCATGTGGTGTCCTGACCTGCAAAATGAGGTTACTCCTAAGACTTTGTGAAGAACGAACCGACCGGCTCCATCTAGAGCCGTTAGAATAATGCCTGTGTGCTTTTCTTCCAAGGTCAGCATTGTCACATGTCCACACGCAGGATAGCTTAGGCTCCGGGAAGACAGACACATTCCTGTGTTGAGTTAATACCTGAGGATAGAGAAAACACCAGTGAGGATAAACAAGGACCAATTCATTCATTTTTGTTTTCAACTAGGAAAACAGCACTATTTAAGAATTATTGTTTAAATCCAAGAATGGTGATACATGCCTTTACTTCCAGCACTCAGGAGGCAGAATCAGGCATTCTCTGTGAATTTGAAGCTATCTGATCGACTTTGTGAATTCTAGGACAGCTATGGCTACATAGTGTAACCATATTTTAAAAAGACATCATATACATAATCTTATTAAAATAATAATGGAAAATAAAAATCGTCATTGAATTTCAGCTACAAAGTTAAATACAAGATGCAGTTTCTTAACTAAAAGATGAAAGAGTTGGAGCACATTAAAGAGCTCTCATCTCTCAAAGCCTGACTGCCCCCAAACTCTTTAGGATACTTTATAATGATCATTTTCCCAGTTTTAGGATTGTTATGAACACACATTATTGTGAACAAAAACTTACAACCAAATTTGCAAATAGAAAGTGATACTATAAAGTTAAACATTTTTATTTATAACATTTTTAATTAAAATTTTTATTTTCTTGAGAATTTCGTACATGAGTACATCATTTACATCATTCCTCCCCTTTTTCCCCTCTACAAATCCTCCCATGTTATCCCCTTTTCAAATTCATAATCTCTTATTGTTTTATACATCTATAAACCTATTTCATATGATCTCTCATATCTATCGTCTATCTATCTGTCTGTCTGTCTATCTATCTCTCCATCTATCTCTCTCTACCTACCTACCTATCAAACTTATTAAGTCCATTGAATGTTGCTTGTATGTACATATGTATAGAGAGGACCACTTGGGACTGGGAACATTAGGGAACTCATTCTTGAAGAAAACTGATTCACCTTCTTTCAGCAGCTGTTGGCTGCTAAATGTGGGGCTTGGGAGATACGCTCACCCAGCCAGGCTGGCGCGTCATCTGTTGCTGTCCTAGTGCAAGTCTTGTTTAGGCAGCCAGACTGTTGAGACTTCATAGGTAGCTGCCTCATCATGTTTAAAAGACACTACCAGCAGCAGGTGTCCTCTGGCTCTCCCAAACTTTCCACTTCTGTTCCTTAGTTTTCCCAGTGTAGGGTTACATTGTAGTTGTACTAACTGGAGATGGGCAAAAATGAGACTCAGAAATGATTAAGTTTTTTCAAAAGCTATATTAAGTGCAAATGTTCATTGTTTTATTTTTCTTGTGTGTGTTTAAGAGTGTATGTGGCTGTGTGCGTACATGTTGAGGCCAGAGGTCAACCTTGAGTGTTATTCATCTGAAACCACCCACCCTTTTCTTTTCTGAGACAGGGTTTCTCCCTCACTGACCGATTCGGTTAGACTGGTTGGTCAGCCCCAGGGATTGGCTGCTTGTCTGCACCTCTCCAGCAACTGGTATTCCAAGCATGCACTACTGTGCTTTGCTTTTTAGATGGGTTATGAGGATAAACTCAGGTCCTCATGGTTGAACAGCAAGCACTGTACTGACTGAGCTATCTGCAAAGCCCTATTTTGTTTTCTGAGACAGGGTCTTGCTGTGTAGCTCAGAGTGGCCTTTAGTTCATTATGGAGCCCATACTGGTATCAAATTGATGACTCCTTTTCTTCCCAAATGCTGGGATTGTAGGTATCACCACCATACCTTGCCGGAATAACAATTATTAAAGATTAAGGGCACAGAGAAGAGAGAAAGTGGTGAGGTTTTAGGGGATATGGAAAGATCAGGAAAGAAGAGCCAGATGTGCTATTTCTGATGATATGCAATCAAAGCCTCTAGCCTGGCACAGCAACACAGGCAAATGTGACCTGGAGATTCCAGAGAAAAGTACAGGAATTAGTAATGTCAGAGCCTGGGCCTTGGCAGCCCTAACAAGCTAAACTGGACCACTCATTCACAATAATCCAATAGCAAAACGCAGAAAAAGGAGATTCATCCAATGTGGCCTCGTTAGGAAGAGGAACACTTCCCCTCCACATCAGTCTTCAGGGGGTGCACATGCTGTTTAGGTTTAGGTAGAAGGCAAGAAGTAACCAAACTGTATTTTTTAAAAGTGTGCTCATCTCTGCCAGGATGCTTCAGGAATAACCTTGGTACGAGCTTAGAGTGCTGAGGCACCCTCCTTTAAGAAATAATGAGCCTAGCTTAAGGCCAAACCTATGAAGTTAGTTACTTTTCTCAGAGAAGAATATTAGCTTTTGTTCTTGATTCACTCCAACTAGCCTTAGGGCAAGAGTGTTAAGCAGTGTTGTTTAGTAACTTTAGGTTCTAGAGAAATTCAATGAGATATGTGGGGTTTCCTGCTCTCTAAGAAGAGAAGTTTTACATTTGAATGACAGGAAACAAGATCCAGGGCTTTAAGTGTGAGCTTGATATCAGAAAGATATTGTGTTTCCTAAAAGAATTCTAACAACTGGAGAGTAAGTTAGAGCCAGCAAGAGGTTTTTTTCTTCTTCGATGAAAATACCATTTACCTCTGTCCTCAGGATTGTGATTTGACCCCCTTGCCTTCATTTTGATGGACTTCCCAGAGTCATCCACTCTTCTTGGCCCCACCTACTGCTAGGAGAAGGAATATGCCCAGGAAAAAGAATTCTAGATTTATTTGCAGGTACTTTACAAACCACTGTATGAATCAGTCAACTCTTACTACAGTAGCACATAGAAAACCAGACAACCACTCACTGGCACCCTTTGTTAATGAGGAGTAAATCTTAAAGTTTAAACAATCTACGAGCGAAGAAGTTTCCATTTTTAAGTGGCAACCACAACTGGATATTGAATATTGCTGTTCCTTGGGATACAGAGAAGATGGGCTGGAGGGCCAAAACTTGGAGATCCTTAAGTCCTTTATAAAAATTTGCAAAATGGGCTGGCAAGATAGCTCCAAGGATAAGAATACTTGTAAAGCCCAAGGGTCTGAGCTAGATTCTGGGATCCACATGCTGGAAGGAGAACACCAACTCCGAAAAGTTGTTCTCTGACCTTCACATGCATATTATGGCACTTACTGTCCACACATATACATATACTTGTGCACACACCCCCACACAGATAAATAAATGTAATAAAAACTGCAAAGGACATACATTTAACTTACAAATATCCCCCTATACTTAATATTGCTTATAGCAGTAACAAATACAATGTCACACTGTCTGAAGAGGAATTTTACTACATTGTCTGTGGAATGACAGGAAGTATATCTGCACATATTCAGACTTTTGTTTAGACTCTTCCTCCACCGACACAGTGGATGTTGAACTTGCTACAGAGAACCGGCGATATGAAGCGCAAGGTGCACACTCCAGCAACAGCCTTAGGACTGAGTGGTTGTCGTTTCAAGCCAGGCTAGTTAAACTGCCTTTTGCTCATTTGGCATATGATTTTCACAGAAGTCCATAGAATTTAAGCCAGCCTGCACATAAATATTCCTTGGGGTATGTATTTAATTCTATATACAGGTTAATTATTGTACATTCAGTCAATAGAGTGTAAATCCCAAATGCTTGCAGGATTCCTAAGTTATGGCCTCATAAGCTTACATCCTCTCTTGGAATCGATCTGTAATGGAGAAGCAATCACAGGGGGCTGGGCAGCGATGTGAATTATGCGTTTGGCTGCCAGCTAAGTGGGGCTGATGTACGATCCGAGCCTTAATGTGCCTCCCAGTGATGACTTTCCCCTGTATTTATCGATGCACTGCGTGCAAGGTGACAACGAAGCCAAGACCCACTTGGTTTGGAAAGTGCCTAACCAAAAGAGCATGCTGAGGCTTCTGGTAGAGGCCAGCTAAATGAGTTCAGCTGAATAAACTCAGC